GAGCAACTCCAGTGAGTACTTCACAATCTATTGTGTTATTATGCATTGCTTTGACTCGCATTCTCGTCCCATTCACTAACGCTTGCTTCGTATTTAAATTTCGAATTAACAAAACTATCGCATTAATCTTGAGCTCCAACTTATGTGGTGGCAAACCACTTACAATCAAAGTATTCAAAAATTCTACTGGATAGTTGCACACCTCACTGTTATCCTCGGAAATAATTCTGTCAAAACTGTAATAAACCTTTTTTTCACCAGCGATGCGATTCAATACATCGTTATTGATAAGTCCACAATCTTCATTAGTTGGAGCTAACACAACTGACTTCAACATTCTATCTGATAAAATGGTTTCATTAATATCTCCAAAAATATCATGTACTATGTTAGATTCAACACCTATCAAATTTGCTGGAATTTCTACTAAATCTTCACCATTGCCAATTCTCTTTAGAAATTGAACGAATTCCAACTCTTCGGGGAGTGCTCTCATATTTTAAGTTAACGTTATATGATTGAAAAACGGGAATTCTGCCCAACTCGTAATACAATTTGCAATCATTACTGCTATTATAAATAATGCCGCCGAATTAATAAATCTGGCATAACTACTACTTTTTTCATATTCGGAACTGTATTTTCCATCACATTTATAGGCAGTTTAAAAACATTATGGAGTGTCTTTCCACCAATCAATAAAGTGGAAGCAATACCACTAAATGCACACGAAATACAGCGAAGATTAAGGGAATTTAATTTACGAATTATAGCCGTTTGTGTGAATGTTTTCCCACAACCTGCATGGGCTGTCAAACAAAACACATTTGATCCTGTGTCGTGATACTGAACTTCACGAATAACTTTATCAATAGTATCACGCTGTTCATTATTTGCGCAATCATAAAGCTCATTAAATAAACATTCTTCTACGAAAGGATCAAAAATATCGAGATCAGCAAATTCTGGCATTATTGTAGGTGTAGGCAAACCAAGTGACGTACATGTAACATTATGTGTTAACAAAATATCCTCGATTTCCAATAATACTCTATTGAAAGAAACATCTACACTACAACCATCTCTAACGAAATCTTCGCTTAAATTATCTCTAAATTCCACCCAAAGCGCTGATGCATTTGCTGGAATATTGAAGGCACAATTAATCGCAAACAAATTACGCATATGTTTTCCTGAGTTAAATGTCTTAGCTTCATTGAGAGAAACTCTCCACTCGTTATAATTGGACGCAATTCCCCTAGCATGACATGCTTCGATAAATGTCCTATAAACAATTCCATTGTATGTACGCACATCTTCATATGATTTTGGCCCTTTTACATGCAACAAAAGTAATCTTAAATGGATTTGCTCAATTTCTTTGGGAGACACCATATACATCCGAGTAATAATTTTATCTCCTCCTCGTTGTCTTTTTTGCCAAGATTTTCTACTATCAATCCAAACATAATGCAATGAAATTTCTATATACGTATATTGATTAGCAGATGAATCACTTTGATTCAATTGAAAGAAAGCTAATAGCTTCGTAAGCTTAGGATTTTGTACTGCTTGTCTTTCTTGGCCTTCGCGAAATATAATATTTTGTCTTTGTGGCAAATGAATGTCAAGACGAATTATAATATGACACTGAAAATGCATAGGAAATTCATATATTCGCCACATAGCCTCAGTTGATCCCACATATCGACCATTCAAAAAATTTCTAACGTCATCTACTTCAACTTGTACTTGTTAGTCATTTTCGTTTGTGCTTTCACTTTGAATTAAAACAGTTGCACTATCAAAACCCTTATATACACATATTTATATATGTACTTAATACTTTTGACGGAAATGCACACCTCGACATTAATGTGACAATTATATTTTGCAAACAAATACGGGTTGTATGGAACGACATAACGATTATCTAAAGACTTTCCTCTAACATCAACGGAAACATTATTATCGCGCCGCCTATACAACGGATAACCATTAACTGATTCTTTCGTTAATTGTACAAAATCCTTTGGAAATTGTTTTGAACATTTTCCATCTTGCATACATACAGAGCTTGGATTCAAAACACCGCATGGACCGTGCATCATGTGTTTGACAACAAATTCATGTAATTTTGGCTGCAAATTTTTATCCGGTATCTCTGCACAAACTATTTTATCAATATCAGCCGGCCCGACAATTTTGTCATTTTCACATAAAGTTATCAAAATGTGAGCATGAGGCAAACCTCTTTTTTGAAATTCGATTGTATATATAAGAGCCTCAACTTTGCCAAAAATATATTTATTCCAAATGTCAGAAATGAGTTCTTTTAACTTCGATTTAAATACACGCACAACTATTTCAGGCCTGAAATGAGATGATTCATTAGGATCAATATTATATACAATTTCCGCCCAATTCTGATTGCAAGTCATTGTAACAAAAAGCGATGGCTTGCCGAAGTACTGAACAATTGACATTGCATCTAAGTAATTTTGATACATGTTTCTCGGAGACCCAGTGAAGGATGAAGGCAAAATCACTTTACGACCTAAGCTACCATCTCCTACTTGATTCGTTTGCAAATAATCACTAATATTGTTATACACATCTGCCCTCAAATTTACTTGATTCTGTCTTATAAAATGTAGTCGACATCCTTCTATTCTCACATACATATCAACAATGTATTGCAAAAATAGTTTTTGCGATTTATGCAAAAAGCTAAATTGATCCCTTATTGCAAATCTGAAGCATGCAAATTGTAACATTGTAACTTTATTTCGAATCTGCCTACCATTAGAATTATGTTGCACGTTATGCGATATATTAACGTGCCAACCAAAATCTCCATTTGGGAATAGTAAAGGATATGCCAATGGTTCCAAAGCAGAATCTAATACTAATACATTCTTAACTACACCATTTGTTTTTAAAAAAGATATCATATTTCTCTCAAATGGTGGTTCACCATCTATAGTCGTAAATATTATATCTTCGTATATCTGTATCACGATTCACGATAATTGCCATACAAATCTCTTTTTGTGCATTGCATACTCTATCATAATGTTCTTTCATTGTACAAAATGAATATCTCTCGAATTGAAGTGTTGTTAATGTCGATTCAACCAATTAATTAACCTTAACTATCACACAATTCACAATTAAAATTCATCACAATTAAAATTTAACTATCACACAATACACTTGAAATAAATCTAAAAATTTCAAACTCATTAACCTTAACTATCCACATTTCACAATTAAAATATATCACAATTAAAATTTATCAAAATTAAAATTTATCACAATTAAAATTTAACTATCACACAATGCAAATAAAACGATTGATATCAAAGGATATTTCCACTTCAATGCGTTTTTTTTATTCACAAACAATATTTGAAATTTAATGAGCTTTAAAAATCTGATTGTAACAGAATCCACAAAGTCCAAACACACAAAGTCCAAACACACAAAGTCCAAACACACAAAGTCCACTTTTTTCCAAAAGTGGAAAAAAATCGCACACACAAATCCACCGTAAACAATTAACAATTCGTCACAAAAAAAAACTTTGAAAAACACATGTATTTTGTTGTTGTAGTCGCAAAATTTACGCCAACGCATTTTTACCTGTGTTTCCGTTAACGTACATGCGAAAAAATAACGTTGTGCTCTTCTGCACGTCTTCACCTTTCCAACGGTATAAATTTTATCCATATATGTCAACGGCAACACAGTTAAAACGGGGTAACAAACTTTTATGTTAGCGTAATTATATATAGATAGTATTATTAAGGATGTACGTGCTACTTAATCTCTTTTTCTATTTTTACAATTTATTTTGTTGTTTACGACCAGTAGTAATGAAGAGCTAGAAAAAGTTTTTTATAACTATAATACTTAGTGCGTGTAGTATATTTAAGTTCATATTTTTTTCTTTATTTAACAAAACCTAAAACTTCTATGGCACACCTGTAACCATACGTCGCTTTTCTCTCTAATATGTATATGCTGCGTGCAAAATATATTTTTTTTATCTTAAGTTGATATGGCAATTTAGTTTCTTAATTAAATATAACTTAATTATTTTTATTTATTCCATTAAATTGCGTTTTAAAATGAAGTTGTTACAATAAAACTGCGAAAAAATTTTTTTTAAAACTATTACATCTTGGAGGTACTCGTGAGTTTCCTGACTATTGAATGCATTAAATTTTTTAGATTATATCATTTTCAAGATTGTAATTAGAATTTTTTTAATTGTTTTAAATATTAACAATATTTAATATATTATAATATATTTAAATAAATAGTTGATATACTTTAATTTTTATTCTTGTTCTTGATCATTGGACATTGCAGCTTATAAGTACAGTCTTACTTTTCTTAATGTACTTCATTAGTTTTCATAATTTTTCTGAACCGTTCCACCCAGTTTTAATATCAAGTAAATCTCAAAACAGTTTTTCACATAACTTTAAGATTTTTATAATAACAAAGTCATAATTTTTCTTAACTGAATCATAATAGTTGTAATTGATGTCAAGCTGTTTCAGAATAGCACTTTAAGATCTTAATATTCTTCACATTCATTGATAAGTATTGATTAGATTAATTGGAAAAATAATAATACAATTTAATAAGTCATGTAAGGTTCTGTAAGTCATCAGGTGTTGTACGATATAGGTTAATTTATTTGCAGAATGTGTGATAAGTTTGTATTTTATTAAATAGAACAATATAGATAAAACCTTATACATTAGTTACTTTTTACTAAAAGTATAAACAATTTTTATATTTTTTATATATATTAAAATTTAAAAAATTTTAATTTTTTTTAACGATTTTAAAAATTGTTATATATATATAACAATGTCTATATTTTATATGTTTAATAATTATTAAATAAATTATATTCTTTTTAAATTTACGTTTAATGCAATGATTAATATATTTATATTTTTTTTATATTTTTTTCTAGTAAATGCTGTCCTCACAGACTTAAAACTAAATCCAGTAATTTTAAAACAATTCGACGCACCTTTTAATTTGTTATACAGCCACATAGGTAAATAATTTATTAAATTTAAAAATGCACAAATGCACTCATGTTTAAAATTAATAGGAAAATTATGCATCAATCTGCAGATAAGCAAAATCTTTTCCCAACCACTGACAATAGAATTAGAGGATTTGTACTTGCTCTTGGGACCAAGGGAATTAGGCCAATATAGCGAAGAAGCAGAACAATTGCGTGAATTTCATGTGAAACAATCAGCTTTAAAGACTCTTGAAGAGTCTTTTAAAAAACAACTCCAAATGGGTAAATAAACATAACCTTATTTTTCAATAATAAATTAAAATAAATTATAATTAAATTTTTTAAATTTAGCAAACGAAAACAATCAGGCTAATTCCACAATGATTGAGCGAATGATAGCTGTTGTTATAAACAATATCCAAGTGAAAATATCGAATATTCATATACGATATGAAGACTGTATCACAACTGGTAGGCCATTTTCATTTGGTGTAACATTAAAGGACTTAGAGACATATACTACTGATTTAAACTGGGAGAGAGGCTTTGCTGGATCCGATGTTAGATGTGTTTTTAAAGTGGCAGAATTAAATTCTTTGTCACTGTATATGAATTGCAATGCTATACTCTACACACAAACCAAGATAGATGATATGCCTAATTTGTTTCGAAATCATATTGCACAAAAGAATTCAGCCCCACTGCATTATACATTCAGTAAGAAATAAATATTTATAGATTTTCATTTACCTAACTTATCTTATTTACAGTTTTGAATCCTATCAGTTCAATGGCAAAACTTAAACTAAACATGAATCCAGAAAATGGTCATCCACCATATCAATCTCCAAAAATCGACTTATTCTTAGAGATGGATGGTATTGGCATTGCGTTAACAAACAAACAATTTCAGTACGTACTTAAATTGGGTGATTATATAAATCGCTTACAATTAGGCGCACCTTACAGAAAATATAGACCTTTCAATAAACGTAAATATATTTCTAATGTTTGAAATTGTAAATTATTATAAATTGAAATGTTAAATTAATTTAAATAGCTTACAAAAATAACTACAAGGAATGGTGGAAATTTGCTATTACCGCTGTATTAGAAGTACAAATAAAGAAACGGAATAGATATTGGACGTGGGAACATATTCACGAACACAGACAGTTATGTGCAAATTATTCTAAGGTTGGTGTTAAATTTTATATAAATAGAATATGGAATTATGGAATACATGTACAGTATGTTTTACCTATAAGAGTATGAGGTAGAAATAATCCATTTTCTCCATTTTTTCCATTACTCTGAAGTTAAAATCTTACTTTAAATCAATCAATATATTGAGAATCCTCCATTGCAATTAAGAGAATAACAATTCTATACTTAGCTCAGGGGATAGCTCAGGGGATAAATGAAGAGGGGGAGGAGGCGATATAATTAAAACTAACCAAGGTCCAGTCGAAGAAACCTAGCTACCTCAAAGGGATGAGTCCAAAGATCGATTGGTCTTAAATCAGTATGTGCATTGGAGCAAGAAAACAGTTGGCGACGTCATAGGGGGTAAAGCTGCAGTTTGGGCACACATTTATGCGTGACAAGTAACTGTTTGGCACATGACTATATCCTGATCTTAATTGAGCTAGGACAGTTTTTGGTACACGAGGAAGACTACGTTCCTCCTGGGATATAAGTTAATTAGGCGGAGGCCTATTGAGGACCTTGCTGAAAGTCAACCTAGGTCTCGAAGAAGATACTGCATCGGTATGGAGTGCTATTAGTCCACGTTTGATCGATATGGTTATTGAAGGTGGTTTACTTTGTAATTGATATTAATTCAATTAAATATGACCATACTTATGGAGTATAGCATTTCCAATCTCACGGACGCACCGCTTTAACAACGGATTTTGATAGCTTTATAGAACTAACTATTTAACTCTCTCTTAAAATAATAAAAAAATTTTTTGTATGCATTTGAACTCATTATTATAATGTTATAATGTTAATAAATATGTTAAATATTAATTAATATAATTATGCGTGTAGTTTATTTAATATAACTTATTAATTAAATAAATGTTTTTAAGCATATATTTAAAATTTTCAGTCATATAAACAAAAATCTCTTACTTCGCGACCTTCTTCTGAACTTGTTGAAACTTGCAGTGTCTTGGAAAAAAAATTGGATTTATTTAATATTATATTAATCCGCAAACGTATTCAAATAGATACGGAAAAACAAAAGAAGGAAGAGGAAGAAACCAAAGTTGTCGCGAAATCAGGCTGGTTTGGCGGTTGGTTTGGAGGTGGTAATAAAGATGATGACGATAAGGAGCCTAAGAACTTCGGTAATATTAATTATTGTTTTAAATATGTTATTCTGTTTGTACTTACTATTCTGTTTACTATTTGCAGTTAAATCATTAGAAGATGCCATGAGTAGTGAAGAAAAAAACCAATTATATGAAACAATTGGTTATACTGATAATTTTGTACCATTGGAAATTCCAAAATATTATGAGGCAGTAAAATTAAATTTCCGATTAACAGCATTTGAATTAGGTCTTTATAAAGAACTAAATAGTAGTAAAGAAGATTTAAGTGGTAGTATACTTGAAACATTAATGTTACTCCATGTATCAATGGCAACTTGCAATGTAAGACAACGTCCAGCATCAGGAGGTTTGAGGTACGTAAATAAAATAAATTTGTATTAAATTTAATTTAATAATTTTCACGTCTCTAGCGTAACAGCGGGCGTTAAGGAGTTAAATATAATTGGTTTAAAAAGGGATGATTTTATTCCAACTTTAATTACCTCAAAGGTAACAGAAGAACTTAATTTATTAGATGTGCTGTTTGAAATTGCTCCAATAGATGAGTTATGTGATCAACGTGTAAATGTTTTGGCACGACCATTACAAATTGTTTATGATGCTGAAACAATTTTAAAGCTTTTAAAGGAATTTAAACCACCAAAATCAGTGAATCTATCAGAATTAGAAGGTGCTGCTAGTGTTAGAATGGCCGATTTTAAAGAACGCTCAGCCACTGGAATGCAGTATATGCTTGATCAGCATAAAATTATGGAGTTAGATATAAAGTTTCTGCCAAATATCATCATAATTCCAGAAACCGGTACTTATATTCCAAATAGTAAATCTCTTATTGTCATTAGCATGGGTGACGTACATATAACATCACAACCGCGAAGATCTTCCAAGTATGATGTACACGCCTTGTCTCAATCTGGCGCAGACCAAGACAAAATTATGGAAGTTGTCCTAGCGCACTCATACGATAATTATAAGGTTTTACTTCAAAGCATGCAGGTAAATACTATAATATGTTTAAATTCTGATTATGCAAATATTTTTCATATATTTTAAAATTAAAATATAGTAACATAATTAAATAAATATTTATAAATTACCTACAATGTTCACACTTGATTTCGAATAAAAGTTTTTTGTATACACTATATTCTAATTAGATAACCATTTCTTTCTAGATTTTAGTTGTAAAAGAAGAGGAAGACTGGGAAAGTGTTCTTGAAATGGCTGCGAGCTCAGATATGCATGTACTGTTACCTACGTCAATTGTTGTTAAAGCTAGTGTGTGTTTATTTCATGATGATCCACGTTTACCGAAAACCAAAGTTGAAATTTTGTTGCCCGGTATAAATATTGATGTAAGTGAAGATCGGGTTTTTGAAGCATTAGGTATTTTTAAAAGTTTGCCAATGCCGGATGAAGACATTGAAGCCAAGCCGTTACTTAAAGCAGTAAGCACTGCCTCTCTACAATCTGTATCGAGTTTCCTTAACGCAGAATCCCGTAAAAAGAAGCCAATAAGAGTTAATGCGCCGCAAGTGAAGGATGATCTAGTACAAAGTACCGATTTAGTTGTTAATTTTGCATTAAAGGAATTTCGCGTTGTATTGTATAAGTCTAATACATCGTCTATTGCTTCAAGATCAGAATCAACTCATTTTGGAACTCCGCCTGAAGAACCTAGTACCGATGACATGGAGGTATTCGCAGATGCATATACTATACAATCCGTTTCACGATTACAAAAAATACTTGCACTTGAAATCTTACAATTAGAGTGCGATATGACCCAGCTTACTTACGAAATGACTGTGAATGCAAAGTAAGTATAAGTTATCTTCATAATTTAATATATTTCTTCTTTTATATAGTTATAAAATATTTAAATCTGTTTATTTAATTAATTATTTGTTCTAGACTTGGGGCTATAAAATTAACACAATTTAGCAATGAAAATTATAAATTAATAGAATATCCTGTAATTGATACACCTCAATTCAGCGAAGAACTCACATATTTGCTAACGGTGTCATTTACCTCAGTTAATAAAAAGTCACCGGAATTCAGTACTAAGCATAATTCCACTGAAGCTAAGGTCACAGTTAACTTTTCAACTCTAAAAGTTTTACTTCATTTAGAATGTTTACTTAAATTAATGGAAATAAATAACTCGCTACAAAAAAGATTAGAAGCATACGATGATGGAAAACCGAAAGATCGTATTGCAACAGCTGGAGAACCAGCTCCTATTCCTAATAAACTTGATACTATTGCTGAGGACTCGGAAGAAGTAGGAACTAAAATAGTTACTGAACGTACAAAAAAAAGTCGATCAAGAAAAGTTGTGGATAGTATTAAAATGCATATTGTAGCCAATTTACATCAAGTAGTCGTAATGTTAAGCTCTCGTACACGTGGTTTAGCAACATTAAAAGTTGAAAACTTTACCGCTGGTGTTGTGATGAAATCTTCGTATACCGAGGTAAAAGTGGGACTAAAAGATATACATGTTGAAGATCTAAATCCGCATACTATTCATACCAGCGTAAGTATAATGTATTTAAAAATTTATTATAGCAAATAATAAAATTATTATTTCGGCACTGTAGATACTTTCAATTGTTGGGAAAAATGCGCTAAAATGTCAACTAGTTTTGTTTAACTTGGACGAAACAAGCGCTTACAATTCTGATGACATGAAAGTAAATGTGGAAATTGGTGGGATGCGTATTGTCTTTTTAAATTGGTTCGTGACATCTGTTTTGGTAAGTATAAATTATGTTTATTATGTTTAAAATTAATCCATAACAATCAATATGAGATTTCGCCTACATAATTTTGTGTACATTAAATTGTATGATCCTTAATTCAGATATGAAGTGTACTCATATACAGGTTATTTATTACTCAAATGGAAATATCGCAAGAGACCATTTCGCTGATCCAAGAAACGAAAAAATGAAATTAATCCATACAATTTTTTTATTGTTTCTTGGGGCAATGAATTGTCGCTCGCTTTAATGTAGATAGATTGTTAGATACTAGTAGCTACGCGTTTAACATGAAGCCACAAATCACCTAGGCACTTTGTGTGAACGCATTGATATATCACAAATTATTGGGACAAGTTAACTGCTTCAAGGAGAATAGGCTAAGAATGGAATTTAAAATCCTTTATTACCAATATCGGATATGAAAAACAACTTCTGATGTGTGCTTTGCAGTAACACCGCAATCCAGTTACAAGCATGACAGAAGCCGTAAAAGTGCCCTCTTACCAGTTGTCGCCGCTGTATAACGGCAATTGTGTTGCTCTATTCTTGATGGACGTCGTGATACATAAGGTTTAACACGTGTTCTCCACAAGTTGTTTTTGGCAGTCATATTTAAATATTTCTTGCTTATAAAATACTTACCTCCCATATTTATTTTATTGCATTAGTGAACACTATATAAATATATGTATTCAATTTCTATAAAAGTAAATAGCAATACATTTATTTGAATAAAAAATTTATTTTTTTTTATGTTAACTTATTTTAATTAATTCTATATGTTTAATTTTAGAATTTCATACATAATTTTCAAGCTGCCGAGCAGGCTATAGCCAACGTTAGTGCGGCTGCAGCTGAGCAGGCAAAAAACAATGCTCTAGATGCTTATGAGAAGGCCACTCGTATAAAACTAAATATTAAAATAAAAGCACCCATTATTGTAGTCCCTGTAAATTCGAAAAGTACAGATGCAATTGTATTGGATTTGGGTTATTTATTGCTTTCGAATACAACAAGCGAACTTGAAGTAAATAATGACGAACGTAGTCCAGCAGTTTTGGATGATATTAAACTTGAAATGCGAAGTATGAAGGTTTACAAAGCATCAGTAGTTGATGAATACGGTAAAGCATCCATAATTAGCATATTTCCTACACATGATGGTAAGAAACTTTGATGGTGTGTTTTATCAATATTATTTACAAAATGTTTCCTCTAATTGCATATTATATATAGATGTTGATGCGACTTATGGTGTAAAGACTGGTATAAATATTTTGGACCCAGTAAGCTTTACACTTGATGTTAAACGGAATTTATCATTTAGTTGGTATAAAGAACTACCAGAAATAAATTTAGCTGGCAGATTAAAATCTATTACAGTAAGTACGATTATTCAATACAATTAAAAATTAATTGTAGTAGTAAAAATTAATTGCTTTTTAAAACTTTTAGTTAAATCTATTTAAAGATGACTATACCCTAGTTATGTCTATATTAAATCAAAATATGACGGAGGGGCAGAACGAAATAGTTGATAATGATGATGATATCGAACCATCAGTAACTACTGTAGAGGTTCATAAACCAAATGAGTCACCTAGTCATAAATCCACCGCCCCAACCGATAATGCTAAACGTGTGCTCGACATACCAAAAATATATGCGCAGTTGATGTTCAATTTCCAGTTCGATGGCGTGCAAGCAGCATTACATTTTGGTATTTTAAGTTTTTAGTAAAATAAAACCTTATAATAATATTTTTATTATCAAAAATAAATAACATTAGACAATGGTGACAGTTTAGCCGAATTTGGAATTTATTTTTTGTCAGTAAAAGGCAAAAAATTAATAGACGGCACATTGAGTACATCAATAGTATTGTGCAACATTCAACTTGATGATAAACGTAAAAATACAAAAAGTAAAATCACAAGATATCTGGGCCGTAAAAATTGGAAACACGAAGACCCTCATGTCTTTCCAAGTGAGTGTGATGAAAACAACCGTTCTTACATGGTTGATGTTACCGCTATAATAAGAGAAGCTGATTCCGTTGGTATGGCTATGATACTTAATTGAAATTGAAATATTTAAACTAATGTAACTTTATTAAATAGCTGAAGTACGAGTTTCCTCTTTTGATTTAATCTTATGCATTGATTTTCTATTAAAATTATCACATTTCTTTGAATTGCCCGAAGAAAGTAAAAATGTTCAACCAATCGCTGAAGTTAAGCCGGGAGTTGTGGCAAAGCAAACTGCTGGTAGATTATAAATAAATTTCTTCTTTTCTTAAATTTTATCTTAACATATTTGTATATTTATTTAACAAATAGTGCCTGTAAAAGAAAACGACATTTATAAAGAGAACAAAGTTAGTTTAATGATTCATATTGATCAACCTGACATTATACTAATTGAAAGCTTGGAGAATATAAATACCAGTGCCATTATATTTAATGTATGTTTAATAAAGTACATTCAATTTAACTTACCTAAATTGTTTTTAATTTAGATGGAAGCTAATTTAAATTACCGCGCAATTGGTGAAAAACAAATTATTAATGGGGAAATACAGTCATTAAAAATGTACCTGTGCTCCTTCAAACCCGAAAGACGTGAAGCAACTAAACATTATATTATACATCCATGTGTGATAACTTTACAAGGCTCTACACCTGAACATGAAGGGCTGCACATAAGTTTAAAATTAAGTGAAATAATTATTAATATTTCACCTGCAACAATTGAACTTATAAATAAAGCTTTAAAAACTCTGCAAACTGATAATGCTGAAAAGAATGCTTTGAAAATCGAAAAACCTGACTACACCGATATTTGGGAACAGAAACCATTTAAGAAGAAAAACTATTGGTTCTTTAAACCTGGTAATACATTGTTATTAAATAATTTGTATTTTGTATTTATATTTATTTTTAAAGACACCGCTGTGGAGGCATTAGAAATAACGGAAAATGAAATACGTATCCCAAAAACTGAGAAATGTGTTGTTGAGGTGCCTTGTATTACCATTGTTTTAGAAATGGGTATTGGATATTATACTACACCACTTATATCGCTTGATATGCGGCTACAAGCAGTCGTTAGTGATTGGAGTTCAGCTTTAAGAGTTAATGGGTCACTTTGTTTAAATATGGATTATTATAATCAATCGTTTGGTGCTTGGGAGCCGATTATTGAATTAAATGAACATATTAAACCTGATGGAGAACTTGAATACTTGCCTTGGGATTTGAGCTTTTCAATGAAAATTGAAAATAAATCTAATGAAAGTGAAGAATCAATAGAAGATGCTAAAATAATAACAGTTCAATCTGAACAAAATTTAGAATTGACTGTAACTAAAACTTTACTAAATCTAATACCTAGCCTTAACGAAGCATTTGCTCAGGCAATGGATGTGACTGGTTTAACTAAACCTGATATTATTGCACCATATGTAGTTGAAAATGATACAGGCTTTAATATAACAATTAATTTTAGACGCGGAATATTCACACTACATGAATGTCACACTCCAAGAGCTACAAAACCGAACATTTCTGCAGTGTTATATCAGACCGAGAGCATAGATAATAATTTTTCGCTCAATGAAATAAAAGATTGTACCATATCTCCCAATGGACGTGTGTATTTACAAACTAAAGACCTGTCTACACTTACTACAGAGGAAGATGAAGAATATAATTTATATGTTAAGGTATGAAGTAATAAATTTATTTATCGAAATTAGTGCTTTATTTTAAATAAGTTAGAAAAGTTAAAAATATGAAATTAAAAACATCATATTTGAAGATTAAAGGGCTGTGGATTGCAATGGATCAAATAGAATCTTAAAACTTAGTTGATTTAATCTAAATAATTAATTTCGAACCAATATAGTTCTTTACATCTTTATTATTGCATAAAAACCTTTATAATCTTATTTTAAATATTTAAGTTATAAGAACGATTTAGTTATTATTTGGAGTTAATATACACTCGTATATAAATATTGATTTTGATATACAACTATAAGTGTATGTTTTCATGTATAATAATAAATAATTTTTTTAGATTGGTGGCATTGAAAAGGAAATTTTGCTTCCAGTTATAAAATCCGATACGCGTTACTTTGCTTTGTATAAAGACGTACATCAAGATCCATGGGGCTTAATTTCTGAAGTAAAATCGGAGTATGGCACAACAAAAATTAATATACACGGCGTTGTCAGCGTAAGTTAAATACTAATTGTAGGCTAAGTATAAAATTTGGTACTTTAGTTTTTCATATTTTAATTTCAAACTTATTATTTATTATTTAAGGTTTTTAATCACTTCTCGATTCCGTTGCAAGTTCATCGTACTAAACCTAATTCGGTTGACAAAAGTTTCATAGGAGAAATACAGCCCCATGATGTTTTTCATATACCATTACATGGAATTTATTCTGAAACAAAGGAATTATTTTTCTGTTTACAGGTAACTTTATTTTATTTTCCTTTAAATTGTAATTGTAATAAAACAACTTTTGCATCTCTAATTTTTATATATGAACAATTCTGTATATAAAAATTTTTAATTAATGCTTCAAAGTGTTCGGGTATATGATGCTCACTCAATACGAGTACAAGTACTCGTATTAAGAATATCAATTACTCTGAAATGGCTAAAGTTTCTTATAGTTTAAATATTATTTGAAGCATAAATTTTAACCAAAATATACTTGTGAAATATTTATTATTTATTTATTTATTTATATATTCATAATTTTATATTTTTATATATTTTGTTTAGGGTTATAAATGCTCCGTTCAGGGCATCAAATGGAATGATTGTCCAACAGATTTGAATTACTCTCGTCAGATACAATGTGATCCTCTTAATACTTTCGAACCATTTTATATGAATGCGGTTCGAGAGAAAACTGAAGTGTTCTATGAAAACACAAATAAATATAAATTATTAAGTGCTTATTATACAATACACTTACGCCCACCGTTGTATATGCATAATTCTTTACCTATTAATATAAAAGTATCAGTTTTGGGTTGTAATGTTGCCAATTCATCTAGATCTAGCCAGGCTTCACCCATTATTGAGAATTATAAAGAAAAAAGCATTATGAAACAAGATTTGCTAGACTATGGTGAGAAAGAAGTTAAACCAGGCGATGTTTTGCATTTACCTACACTTAAGTTTTCTGGTAAAAAACGAGATAATTCCAGTTTTTTGATTGTAAAAGTAAGTAATTTATTAAAATTACTTGTTTTTTTTAAATATATATAAATTTGAATAAACAAATAGTTTTAGTATTTTCAAAACAATTATTTTTATTATTACCAATAATAAAATAATAAATTTTAATTTTCATTTATTTATACAATTTATTTTTTACAATAGTTAATGGATTATTTGGAAAAAGACTGGTCTTGTACAACATCCATTTCAGATCAGAATATAAAGGATATAGCTATATGGAAATTTACCGCTTTCGATTCCCCAAGTAAAATGGAAATTGACTTGTGTGTTCGGTTAGTATTGTTGTTTAATAATTTTATCTTTTATATGTTTTTACATATATAATGACAAATATTATTCAATTCTATATATTTACTATATATATTATTTGTATATTTTAGTTATGAAACTTTACACGATAGTTTGGTTGCTACCATATTTAGCCCATTTTGGTTAGTAAATAAAAGTGGCCTAATGCTTAGTTATAACTTGAATACAGAAACTGTGGATGTCCTATTCCATCCTCCAGAGTATAAAGGACCAATACTTTTTTCGCCTGCCAAATCCCTATTTGATAAGAAGGCTATCTCAGTGCGAGTTGATAGTGGAGATTGGAGTGATAAAATACCATTAGATATAGCAGGTTCAAATGGTACTGTAACTTGTACTTGTCCAGATGAAAAATATCAGGTACTTACAGATACAGTTTTTATTTAATTTTTTGTTTTTGTAATGCATATAATGAGTTTAAATATATTATAGATTGGCGTGCATAATAGCTTAACAACAAATTCTCTTACTAAACAAATCACATTTATACCATTCTATAATGCGGTTAATAATTGCGATTTTGAAATTGAACTACAAGAACTCAATCGTCCTGCAGATAATTGGAATAAGGTAAAATTTTTTAAGACATATATAAATTGCTTTTACCTCAAACAAACGAGTATATGTCATAAATTTAAAAACATATAATTAATTAAATTCTATTGAAAAGCAAATCTTTTTAAAATACCTTAAATGAAATTTATTTAATACGATTTTATTTATATTTAGGTTGCACCCGGTTCATGTTCTGCAATTTGGCCAAAATCTGGTTCTGACTTTTTGATGGTAGCTAAGGTCAATGGAATAACAACTGTACCTTTTAATTATGCTGAAGCACAATGTTGTCTGCTGCAGTTATACAAAGATAAGGTAATTATTTTCAAATAAGATTATGAGAAAAAAGTTTTTATATACAAATTATTAATTATAATCTTAAAACAATTATTATAATGTCGTTATACTTATAATGAATATCCCATCAATAAAATAGCGTATTTACTAAAGCCACAGATTGCGCTTCGCAGCTCTTAACCTGTGATACCAATGAACTACAATATATTATGATTTTACTTATTTTTGTAACACTATTTAGTTTTAAAAAATGTAGTTATTTTAATCGTCTATAGTTGTTGTTGTAACCCGTTAGGACCTGCTTGTGAAGTAGAAGACTTTTGAGAGTCTTCTATAGTCATTTTATTCGACTACCTGAGTGGATAATAATTGAGTAATAGTTCTAGTATATTAGAACGCTATGAAAAATTGACATGCGAAAAAGTTTCTGGTTTTAGCCAAACATGTACAGAAATCTTGAAATCTGGCAGTAACATGGTGAAGATCAGCACTCTCTCAGCTTTTATTTCTGACTAACTATATATACTAAAGAGTATCGTATCACTCTTGTTCAAATCAGAGTTCAGAAGAAATTTATAAGAATATCAGGAAAAAAGACAATTTTTATAATTCAATAAATATTTTAAACCATATAAATAATTACAGTAATATATAATAATTAAATATCTCTTTCCTTTAACGTAGGTCGGTGGAATAAATGTTGATGTTCAAGCAACTGAGGGAGGTGTTTATATAATATTTACCCAATATAATCCGGGAGATGCACCAGCACTTTTCATTAACCACACAAATGATAATGTTGCCTTTTACGAAAAAACTCTTCAAAATAAAATAATAACCGTATCTCCACTAAGTTTACTTCTATTTACTTGGGCTAATCCAGCCGGTGAGAAAAATATAGTAATGGGAAAAAATGAGGTTGTATCAGATTTGAGACGTGACGACTGTGGAGAAATAAAGTAAAAGATTCTGATGTTTTTTATTATAAATTGATATAATAAAATATTTATCATTTGAAATAGGTTACATAATAATACAACTACATATTGGGTTTCATTTTTGGATGGTCTACAACGTGTTATACTTTTCACAAAAAATAAATCTATTGTTTCTCGATCTGAAACAAGTGCACAACTACAAACTATTACACAGTCCATTATGTTGCGTCTGCAAGGTATCGGCTTATCTGTTATAAATAATGAAAAAGGTGTAGATATTATGTACATGGGCATAAAAAGTTCAGGTGAGTAGATAAAAAAATTTTAGTTTTTAACTTACTCTTTAATAAATATATTGTAAAATAAATTTTCAGGTATTATATGGGAGTCTAAAAAAGATAAAAAACGTTTTAAACAGATGAACATAGATGAAACTGCTCAAGTTGAAGGCCAATATCAGAAGTATTTGCTGGAAAAAAGTGTTAACCAAGAATCTCAATACTTTTTGGATATCAAGCAAGAGGTTAATAATAAAAAATTTTTTAAATTTAAACGCAAGTCAATTGTTGGGCTCTTTGAGGTATTTTGGGATTACGGTACAGTAGTTTTTCCATTAATTATTAAATTGAATACAAATTTAAAAGTTGTATTAATCTATTTTTGTCGATTTAACTTAAACATAAAATTATGTTTAAGTAACTTAGCTTTTATATAAATTATTAAGATATAGAACCACATTTCTATGCTTAGTTATGCTTAGTTAGTAAAGTGATACTTGTTGAATATGATTTTGGTAATATTTAAGACTTTTAAAATCCACATTTATTATAGTTGTTTGTTTAATATCGATCTAGTCTAAAACATTAAGGACCAATTTTATATAAACAATTTAAGCATAGTTTAAGATACATAAAATTATATAGTAAATAGTTTAGCTAATGTCAGGCACGTAGCCAGGGAGAACTGACAGACTGAAACCTCTTTCCCCACGAAATGACTCGATAGTTTATATGTATATTCTTAATTAATGCATCATGACATGATTGAATTGTGAGCACTTAAAAATATTTGAATTTAATAGGAAAAGATATGTCTGCAACTTTAGTGACTTAAAGCACACATAAATCAGTGTTAAGACTCAATATATGCTGTAAAATCGAAACTGAATAATTTATTTATTATTTGATTTATGTCAACATATTTAACATTTGATAATACTTTGAAGTTCAAATTAAAAACAACATTAACGTATATTGAGTTATTATTGAGTCATTCACAAAACATAAAACACTTAAATTTAAAATTTTAATATATATAATATATGTGATTCTTTAGTATTAATTATGTATTTTTTTTTGTTTTTGTTTTTGATGATATAGATTGATTTTGAGAATATGGTATTAAAAACAACGCCTCCAAGAATAATACAACGTACTTTTTATCCCGGCATATGGGTGAACATGAATACATCACCATTCCAAACACAATTACATGTTAAATTAAATAAAATACAAATGGATAATCAGTTACGAGATTGTATTTTCCCCGTTGTATTAACAGCTGTGCCACCACCAAAGAGTGTTGCCAAAACTATTACACTGAAGCCTTTTATTGAATGCAGCATTGTTGAAAGAATTATACCAAATTCAACAGTGAAGCAATATAAATACGCGATTATACTTATTCAAGAATTTCATTTAAAAGTGGACTTAGTATTCCTTGCTGCAATTGCTGAGTTATTTACTACAGATCTTAATGATGAGCAAAGGGCAAAACTGTTTAATGCTGATGTGGACGCAATATCAAAACCACTATGGGAACTAGTTCAAACACGCTCCTTAGAACAACAAAAACATTTCTATGATAATTTGCATTTGGGTCCATTAAAAATACATTTAAGTTTTTCAATGGCTGGTTCAGATACTATACCATTACCTGGAGTATTGGCAACATTGGTACAGGGTATTGGTGTGACTTTGACGGACGTAAATGATGTCGTCTTCCGTCTAGCATTCTTCGAACGCGAATTCCAATTCTTTACACAACAACAGTTAACTTCTGAGATTACAACGCACTACGCTGGTCAAGGTCTAAAGCAACTTTATGTGCTCGTTTTAGGACTGGATGTGCTGGGTAATCCATATGGTCTGGTTGTCGGTTTGAAAAAAGGAGTTGGTGATTTGTTCTATGAACCATTTCAGGTAAGTAATTACCAAATCAAACAAGTCAAGTAATAATTAATAATAAATTATTTTCTTAAGGGTGCTATTCAAGGTCCAGGCGAATTTGCTGAGGGTCTGGTTTTAGGTGTGAAATCTTTGTTTGGACATACCGTAGGAGGTGCAGCTGGAGCAGTTTCGAAGTATACAACATCATAATTAATTATAAACCTTAAAACTAATTTTTTTTCATATTTCCTAAGAATAACTGGCGCTTTGGGCAAAGGAATAGCAAGTCTTACTTTCGATGAAGATTATCAGAAAAAGCGACAACGTAATATTAACAAAAAACCTGAAAACTTCCAGCAAGGCATTGCGCGAAGTGGCAAAGGCCTTGTTATGGTATTGAGAAATAATCTTTGTAATAAATTTTGAAATAATAGACATAATTATTTATGGTTAGGGATTTGTTGATGGTGTTACTGGTGTAGTTACCAAACCTGTTGCTGGCGCCAAAGAAGAAGGAGTTGAAGGATTCTTTAAAGGTCTGGGAAAAGGTGCTATAGGCTTAGTCACTCGACCTACAGCAGGTGTTGTAGATTTCGCTAGTGATAGCTTTGGCGCAGTAAAACGTGCCGCTGAATCAAAAGAGGATGACAAACGTTTACGTGCACCACGCTTCATTCGTCTTGATGCGGTTTTGCGACCCTATTGTCGTGCGGAAGCAAAAGGCAACCAAATATTCAGGTAAGCACTATTGTAAACTGAATATTTAATTCAATTCGTTATGTTTTATTTAATTTTGATGCACTTTTTAGGGAAATCGAGAAAGGTAAATATGCGACGACGGATACCTATGTACATCGTGAAGTTATCATAAGGAAAAAAGAGAATTTGATAATTTCCAATCATCGAGTTATTTACATTACCAAAAATGACTTGTTTGGGCACTGGGTGGTAAGCACAATATCTGATATGGTGTAATATTTACACTAATTAAACTTTATAATTTTTCTTATTCAGGTTAACTGGCAGCATTTATGGCCCGAAATTGAAAAAATCACAGCCTCAGATCGAGGGGTAGAATTAGTAATGAAGAGAGATAACAAAAAAGTAATGGGCATCTTTGGGAGGAGTGATAAACAAAACAGACTTCTTATAAAGATCCCACCAAATCGACGAGAGAAATTGGTTGAAATTATGGAATCTCAGCGCTTAGAAGATATTTAGTTCTTTGAAATGTTATCGACATCCAGAGGAATAAGCGCACATTATGCAAACAGGATCATCGTTTTTACGAACTGAATTTGTATCAAATGCATCGATATTGTTTATCATAATCACTAGTTTAACATTTTAGGTTAGAAACAAATTAAATAAAGTAATTAATGAAATGGAATCAGTAACAGAAACGAAATGCAAATAATTCTGTATTGTTTATTTTATATAATATTTTAATAATATATATATATTAAAGTTTTTAATTAAAAGTTTTGCAAATTTTTTTTTTCACATATTTATTTATATTATTTCTTTTACTACGTCGATATTTTTATAAAAGGCAATAAATCTGAACTAAAATAATCTCCTTTATAATAAAAAAATCACTTAAATATTGTTGATTGGAGAATTTATGAATATTAAAAGATTTGTAACCAATATATAAAATAAATATATACAATAAAATTAGTACAATAAAGCATGCAACAAAATATAAATTTATGTCTTTTTACATAATCTACAAATAAATTGACAGTTTTTTAAATAAAAATAAAGTACTAATTTTTTATATATGTATATGTAACACTATATTTATATATTGTTTAATTTGACTACAATAAATGTAGCCGAACAGGCACAGCAGTGGCCGCAGCAAGTCGCAGCAGCATCTTCGTTCGCTTGATTTAACTAACATGGAATGAACTTCGAACCTTAGGATAAAAATACTTTTAGTGGCGAAGAAGTGTTGATGCTCTGTGCTCTAAAAACAAGTAATCAGAATGGATGCATATTTCTTTTCAAGTTTTAATTTCGTCTTTAAGATTAAAAGGTTAAGGTTATCTCTTTACAACGATTTTAGTACATCATTGTAAAGAGATATTTTATATTACATTATCAAAATGTATAGAAAATATTAGTTAAAAATAAGGCTTAAGAGCTTATCTACCTACAATAATGTCAATATAATTTGTGATTCTAGAAATTAACATAAATGAGACACTTATTCAGATTTCATTCAAACTTTAATTTTAATGTATTGTTTGGATTTTGTTATTGAGTTTGAAAGAAAGAAAATAAAATTTCAAACAAAACGACGTTCAGCGTTTGTTAAACAATTTACATTGTAAAATGGTAAACCTTAAACTAAACTGATACCTTATATGACAGTTTGTTTTATATGCGAGTTTAAGTTTTTATAAATTCGCTTTAATCATAATATGAAAAAAATCTTACCTAGACAGCATAATAAATAAAAATGTGATTTATATATATTTTAATTTTTTATTCTTATTAAATATTGTATTTAAACTTTCTTCATAAAACTATTTGGTGGTGATGACACAGCCATAATTGGCTCATAATTATTGCAATCACTATCGCAAAAGGCACTTAAAGAAGAAACCGCATTGTTAGCCAATGTTTCGACACTAAACATAGCAAGATGACCACTGGCCTCAAACTGATTTATTATCATATTGACTTTACTTTTGTTGTTACTACTACTGCTACTGCTACTGCATTTGAGTATCGGAGTATCACTAGAACCATCATAATTATCACACACCTCGACACTATTTAATAAATTCTCCTTCTCGCTTTGTTTGGTCTTCGGCGGTGAAGAAATCGTCATGGAGCGTGTGGAAGAAGTCGTTTTATTTAAACGATTCAGAAACCAATTTTTAGCAGATTTCTCATTGCTTTCATTCTTTTTTTGTATACTTCCATTGGGAGTAATTGATTTACGTTGTTTCTTTTGCTCTTTTAATGATTGAGGAGGTGTTGTTAATGCTATGGACTCCGAATCATTAGAACTACAAGAATATGTCTTCTTTATGGGCGTTTTTTTTAGACGTTCAATACTTTGTCCAGCAGAAAGTTGACTAGAAAGTTTATTGTGTACATCTTTAATTACTGCTTGGAAATCAGTTTTCTCTACACTTCTCGAAGCTATTGCACTCAGTGTAGATTGATTTTTATTCATGGGATTAAGCATTAAGGTTTCAAAAGTGTCGGAATCATGTAATGCATTTTCAACTTGATCGGTTGAATTTTTCAATGGCTGTGGTGGGCACTTTGGTATGTCATATTCATATTTTTGTTCTATATCAATGGAATTATTATTTTTTGTTGGTAAGTCAGGAGGTTGATCAGCAATTTCCTTGTTAATAGTTTGTGTGGTTTTAGTAATCAAAAGATCTGTTGGTTCGAGAAATTGATACAGAGGTGATGGTTCTTCGTAAATGCTGTCTGAACTGCCAAAGTTTGAAGTTGTGCCATTAATTTTCCCATGGCAGCCATTATACGTCAATCTCTTAAATAAAGGAGGTGTAGGGAGCTTGCGATTATTTTTTGCAACAGAACTTTTGTCACATCGTATGGCAGCTTCAATGGCATGTATCCATTCTTTGGCATCAACTTCATTATTCGCTTGAAACACGAATTTTATGTTAGGATCGGCAGTTGTTATTTGAAAGCAAATATCACGCTTTTTGCCTTCTCCCGAATGTTCAATTTCTATGCCATTACTTTTTAAATACAATGTGTGAGTGGGACAAGACGAAACAGGACCATCAGCGTAACATAGTAACCAATCATTTAGAATGCCACAATAATACTTTTTACTTTGATCAAAAAATAAACGTTTTTCTATGCGATTTAGCTGTCCATATTTAGATGATTGTTGTATCGTCAAATGACCAGCTGGTAAGTCTATATAAGGACAGTCTGCAGAATTTATTAAATCCATATCAGGAGTAATAGCTTTCTCGGTTTCATCCGAATCTACCTGAGCAAGACATACATCATAGACCTGTTGAATGTCTTCAATGAACTTCTCGCTACTATTACTTTTTACAATATCTAATTTTTTATGTTGTAAAATTTTTTCATTTTTTTCACTATTAAGTGAAGTAGCACTACGGTGTAAAATGTTACCAATTGGTCCTTCAGTCATACTAGTGGAGCAGCGAAATGTTTTATCGCTGTATGCAGAATTCATCATATCACCAAGGTATTCTTTGGACTCGTTCACTAAAATAAAATTTAAAAATTAAATAAAGTAAAATGAATATATTGTATGTATTATACTTTTCTTGTTTGCAGCTGTCATGTCCAAATACGAAACATCTTCATGGAATACATTGGTCTTCGGTCTGTCATCAATAGTAACCTTTAAAGTATCTTTTTGGATATGATCGCTTTGTTTTTGGTTGACAACTGAATATTGCTTCAATAGGGTTTCACAACGTTTCAGTAGTTTAAATGTTTCCTTTGCTGCTGTTACGTGGAATATATTAGATGTATTCTCATATTCAGATGTTTCAAGAGACGCTCGAAAGTGATCACGTACATCTTTAAATTAAAAAATAATATTATTTATATAAAATTTACTTATTAATTTAATAATTAATTTAATAATATTACTTATCTCATAAAAAAATTATTAATAAATAATTAAATATACGAAATAATTTCAAGATCTTAAAAAAAAAAAAAATTATTTATGAACAATTATATATAAGAAATAATTCCAATATCTTAAAAGAAAAAGGATAAAAATTATTTATGAACAATTATATATACAAAACAATTCCAAGACCACTGGTGATGGGTGTTTGGGAATACTTAAAACATCCAAAAATTCAAGTAAATTAAAAATAATAAAAATTTTTGTTGTTGTAATTTCACTACTGTTCGATAAAAGTCTCTGTGTTGAAGACAATAGTTTATATTAAGAATTTAGTTTCTTCGTCGTTAAAAGGACGTTAAAAATGAATTTAATAATTAATTATATAAAGTTTGTTTTGTATATAATAAAAGTTATTATATAAAAACATAAATTTAAAACCACGACCTAAAGCCCGCAAAATTTAAAACATAATTAATAAATCTAATGAAATATAAGTAGAAGAAGGTGAAAATATCTATATATTATCTCTAAAAAGTGAACATGGGTAAAATAATGTTTATATGTTAGGTGTGTTATATCTGCTTTCTAAATAATTTTTAATTATATTCGTAATGAAAATTTTGTAAAATTTATTTAATAAATAATTTTTAAATGAACATAATGAGGCGTTTGAAAAAAATTATATAAATGTGAAATAATAGATCAGTTCCAGCATAGTTTAAATTAATACTTTCCTCTGTTAATTGTTTTTTATGACATGTCTATGATGCATATATGAGAACTTCGTATGTGGAAGCCACTTGTTTAAAATTGTCTTATAATTTCCTAACAACTCGCATTACCCGCTAATTTCGATTGCGTCTTTTCATTTAAATGTAGTGTTTTGTACTTTAAAAATTCATATTAAAATTAATGGCATAAAAAACTGTTATTTTGCAGCAATTACAGTAAAAGTGACCTCATAAAGCAAAAGTCAATTATGTATTCAGCAACAACAATGAGAAAGAACATGAAGTGTAATTATTAAAGACATTTTCTCCATACAAACTAAAAAGAAGAAAAATACCAAGAAGAAAAATACTTTTGTTTACACTCAAAGAAAAATATATGTTGACATGCTAAAAGCATGAAATAATTATATGTAATTGAAAGTTTATTCGAACTGTAATGCAGGGTTATCCATATTATGATTCGAAAAGCAAATGTGTACAAAACATTGCGATTTATCACACTTATTTAAGCATCTATTTATTTGTAACTCTCTCTCTTTCTCTCTGTCTCTCTGTTTTTCTCTCTCTCTCTGTTTTTCTCTCTCTCTGTTTTTCTCTCTCTCTGTTTTTCTCTCTCTCTCACTCTCTCTTCAGCTGCAAAGTTTATAACATATGAGTGATGTTTGTAAACTCAAAATTCTGATAATGCTTTATATAACCCTGTAAAAAGTCCAGACTTGACAAATTCAATAATTTTAGTAGTCACATAATAAAAACATTAATTTACAAATATGAGTAATCCATCGCGAAGAAAGTCAAAACAAGACGTAGTGTGTGATTAAAGGGACTGTCCTGTTGATACCACATATCTTCAATATACATATCTTCAATTTCAAGGCAAAAACTATTAGAAGTCACATTGCTTTAATAATCAATAATGAAGGTTGATGCTATAGGTTCGTCATTTTTAAAAAGTGCGGGTTTATCATACAGTGACTTTTTGTACATGCAATAGACTTTTGACAGTTACGTATTTGAATAACTGCTCCAAGAGCTACAATTTTTTTTTAACTTCAGCGTTAGTGGTAAATTTTTACACTTTTTTTACACAGTCAGCGGTTGTTGACGATATACTACTTTTGGCGATAGTTCTATTAGATATATGTCTGTGAAATAGTGTTTCCAAATGTGAGCGATGAAGTGGGCAACATTTTTTTTAAAAGGGTTCTAATATACTATAATATAAACTAACTTATTGAAAAGTCACTATCAAGGCAATAAAGATAATTCAAATTTTAAAATCAAAAAAATTATTATTTTTTTTATGGTTTCACCTTTTCTTTCACAAAAATTTGAGGTTATACATATATTTTTAATCAGCAAAAACTATATTTTGTCTACCAACAGACTAACTAACTAGAAATTAATTTTTCAAACGAAATGGATGTTAGTACCAGGCTATAATCTAAGAACTGACTTTCCAGTTAAACTATGGAAGAAAAAGCATTAATACACATTTTTTCTTTGAGTGTTATTTGTAGTGATGACTCATAGAAGAAACTTTGCATAATATGGACTTAAATTTTAGTTAACATAAGACTAGAAAATTTGAATGTTAATATGAGTAAGTAAGTAAGTAAATATGTAAGTACGTAAATAAGTAAGCAACTAAGTATGTACGTAAGTAAGAAAAGTAAGGCTTGCTATAAACACAGCAGATAAAACCGCAAGATACATATAATCGTACAAAAATCAGCCATAAAACCACTGACTTTTATCAAGTATGAAGTCTATAAGTATGTCGTGAAATCTTATATACTTTAACTATTAACTCAGAGTAAAAAAAAACTAATAAAACTGTTATAATTTTGTGTGTAATAACTTTTCCGCGATAACATGAAAACGAATTTTAAAATTATAAATTATAAAAATTAACACAAGTCTTTCGCTACATGGTTTTGGAGAGATGAAAGTGGCTTTGATATTATTTTAGGTTAAAAGTTCTTTAGACAAAACAATAAATCAATTGCTAAAAGTTTTAAGAAAATATCATTAACTTCATTTTGCAAATGTAGAAGTAATTAAGTCCGACAATAAAAATGATTATGAACTGGAACTAGAAAGATAACAAGTAAATAAGGACTAAAACTTAATACTACATAGATCACTTTATACAGGGATGAATTAATAAATTTACTCCTCAACAAAGTTATAATTTACTTGCATTCACACTTGTGCATATATACACCCATATTTCATAACACACAACACAACAAAAACTAATGATAACAGTGATTTAATTTACTATTGTGCAAATTTTATATTTAATTACATTCATAATTATGCATAGACGCACCCATCCATCACACCAATGATAAAGACAATAATAACAGCAGCAGCTCCAGCAGTGAGAGGAAAGAAAATAATAAAAATTATTAACAAATTAAAATTTTTTAGCCTAATTATTAATTTGTGTTCAGGGTGTACTAGTATTAATAAGAAGATAAGTCCATTTAATAATAAAATAACTTTTGTAATGTCTAATTTGATTGCTCACCACTTCAATGAGTGAGACGGTAATTTCTACACTATTCCCTTTTATAACCGCGGCTTTTATGATCCTACTCACAAAGTTCATCGATAGTCTTACCTTAACTCAATCCCCTTCACCATCACCTTATCTCCCTAATATACGCTCGTGCTTTCTGACTTAGATGACCCTAGCTCGCTAGGTATTAAGCCTATCTGTTCACATCTCTCTCCCCTGATTACTGGAATGAAGTTTCCTCAAGGCTGTGGAAATCTTCTCCATTCATTCCTAAGAGATGGTTTTAGTGGGTGTTTGGCAATTAACTTTTATTTATTTAGAATCTTATGAAAATTGCTAGAACTGAACCGAGTTTATTCTTAATTACTTAATTTTTTTAAGTTTCACTTCAATGTATGAAAAGTTCGATTTTTTTTAATCCCATTTTTAATGTCCGACTTAGTTAACATAAATACCAATATTGAGAATAAAGTTAATTTTTTTTGCTGAAAGCTATTTTTTTATGACGACAAAGAAGTTATTTTAAAAATTGAAAGGATTCGAAAGGTAAAGAAATCATATACGGACTATAAATTAATAAAAAAGAAATTCGAATATTTCCGAAAACCACAAATGATGAGTACTTGACAATACTCGAAACACGGAGTGGTATGCAGATCTTAGATCAATCATGGAATAATCACGAATACTATGAGAAATACCCAAATTAATCAGTGAGATGGGTGGGACTCTGCAGAAACCCCCCAGCCATCATAGAGTAAAAGTGCCCAGATGCACTAACTCGGAGAACGCTCAACATAAGTTAGTAGAATTTTGTGTCGAATTTTGTATACTCCTATAGATTATACTCCTTCCTATACTTCTATACTCCTATCGATGACTAGGTTTATAAATGAACTTTTTTAAACTATATAACTATATATATATTCATTTCTAATAATTTTAATAAAAAGTTTTGAGTAACTTCTCATTATCACTATCTATGATTTTATTTACATATATTATATATAAAATATTCTTCTATATTATATTCTTCTTTAAATAATAAAAGTATTCCCACATATTTTAACTGCCACAGAAATGACTATTGTGTTCGAAATTGTAAATACTTAGGAATTCATTATAATTTTTAATCTTAAGAATAGAAAAAATATTTTTATTAAATTTTCTACATTTTATTTATTATTAATAATAAAACTCAATATTTGCCATTAACTCACCAAATAAAAATTGTTCAATTTCACTGGATCGATGTGTGGCCGCCTGATTTGTATCCATTTTTATTGGTCGATAATAATTTTATTATATAAACAATTTAGTTTTATTTATTTTATTATTAGCATTACTAATGCATATTTGGCCGTTTCTAGAAATATATCGGCATTTTGTTTGCTAACTTGTTTGGCTTTTTAATTCGTCTATAATCGTATCATTTTCACATTCAGCACCAATATTCCAACTGCACTACACAATGTGTTGTATATATAATATATACAATATATAGATTGATATTATTTACAATACAATTTTAAGTTGTTAATTAGTAAAATTCACACACTAGCACTTAAATTTAAACAAATATTTCAATTCATATGTAATTCAAATTATTATTGGCTTTAAAACGATTTGTACTGATTTATTTTTCTAAAAAATATTTACACAATATATATATTATTTTATAGATAAATAAATACTTCTTTATTTTGTTAATAATAATTAATGTTTGATTTATGTTACATTTATTATTCGTTTTTAATTTAATTTAATATTTGAGATGAAGCGCAAAATTATTAATTAATTCCACTTAAGTAATGACATGCAACAGATCAGTGCCTCCGATCAGTGGAAGAAGATCACACGCGATTGTTTCGTATCGAGTCACAAATAGCGAGCGAGTATCTGAAATTGTGGTAAGCGCCGATTTGACCTCCTACAGAGCTCGAATGAGTTACATATTCCAATTGCGTTTCTTCTTGTTGTGCTGATGCTTACCAGACAGTTGTGCTGGCGGCCTGTTACACACTGAAAATGATTATTTCTGTTTAGCAGTTTGATACACTAACTTCACAATAGTTCACGTCGCCCGTCGTCTAACGTTTCAATTCTCTTATTACTTCAAAATAACAGATTTCAGAGCGCTACGCTCTTCGGTTCAAGATATATTAAGTTAAACACATATTAGTGTTATTATCCGTAAAGAGAACAGCATAATTAGATGTTTAAGGAATGAGTCGATTATCCTATTATTTTTTGAATCAGTGTTAACATTTTACAGTATTCATTTTAAAATTATTACAAATTTTCATTTACTAATTTATATATCATGTATAGTATATATAAAATATTATTTTCGTAAAACACTTAAGTGTACTATATATGGTATATGATATAACGTGACTAAAATGCAACATACTTTTTTGAGAACATTATCCAATAATACTGTTGAATACTGCCAACTGAACTTTGTTGACTTTTTGGCTTTATAATATAACCCCAGATTAAATACACTAGCTTTGGAGAAGGATTTATTGATCATGCAGGTTTATATCTGAAATTTTTAAGTCTTATAATCTGTTAAATTAAAATATTTAATCCAAAATATAAAATTAACATGAGTAAATGTTTATCTACTAGTCTGAGCAAACCCTATAAAGAATTATTTTTCAAACAAGTAAAAAATTTATTCTTCTTTTTATAAAGGTTAGGTTAGGTTAAGAAATCGCGTGCTGACAGTTATCAGCACTTCCACTCGAAGGCATATATTGTCCATTGTGTTGTCCTCATTGTGTTGCCGGGAGAAACGAGTTGCTAACATTTGTTATCTTGATTAAAGTTCAGTATCCTTCACATCAAGATTTTTAATTTTCATAAAAATTTACGAAATATTTTTAAATTAAAAATATAGTTTTATATACTTGTATTTAAATCTAATTAATACAATTGTGACTGTTTAGCAAATAAATTTGATGAAAAATATTTTAGTTAAAAGTAGAGAAGTTTTTTTTTTTATTTAAAAATGCTCTCCAACATTAACTGAAGGAATCAAGTTATACCTTTACGTTAAACATTTCACACTGCAGATGAATAGATATGAAATTATTTAATTCATTTTAGTTACTATGTAAACACCTTCCATTCAGTCACACAAGCAGTTATTATTCAGATTAGCTCGTATACAAGCAAGTAGTCGTAAGAAGGAGGCATAAGGAACTGAAGCTTCCCTGAAATGACCTTACACTTAAACTTAGACAAACCTTTTTAACATACGTTTACACCAATTATGTGTGGATTTTCCTAAATTCGATAACTTAACTTCGTAATGTAAACAGGGTATTATACTGTCTTTACACTTATCCTTAGACAAACCTTTTTAATATACGTTTACTTGAATTTGGTGTGGATTTTCCTAAATTCGATAGCTTAACTTCGTAATGTAAACAGGGTATTATACTAACATATCTATACTATGCTATTATAGTATAATATACTATTATACTTTAATATATTTTTACATGGATTATATGTGGATTTTTTATAAAAAATGACACATATTACTACATATTTATTATTTAAAATTATCGATACAATTTACTTAATTGATTATAATTTATAAAATATATATTTTCAAATATTTAATCAACAATTAAATATATTATGAAATAATATTATTTTGATATTAGGAATAAAATTATTGTAAAGGCAAGCTATGCTTAATATTATCACAAAACACAAAATAAACAAAGTTTGCAGAAGTTGATCTCGACCGGATATGTTATTTTATTTTATTTTTTTTTTTTGATTATTTTAAGCATCTTTGTAAGTTTTTTGATTTTCGTAAAATTTTTCATGTTGTTCTTGCTTCATATAAAATGATGACGTTATTTTTCTTCCTAATTAAAAAAGCTAGTCTTCTCTTCTCTTCTTCTTCTCTTTATTCAACTTTAGTTTCACTGCCATCTGTTACTACCAAAATTTTTATGTTAACAAATTCTGTTTGATTTTTATTGTATTTTTGGCCGGTGCGTGTATTTTATGCTTCTTCTTTATTTTGCAGTTTTGCAGGCTCTTTTACTCACATCAATGGTCAGCGATTAAATTTGTTATACAAAAATTTATTATACAAAAATGTCTTATATTTTGTGAAATGGAATTGATAAGAAAAAGAATTATTTCAGTTTTTAGAGAGGATTAATAAAGTCAATGACGTCACATGAATATTTTCGTCATAGCAATAATCTAAATAATTGTGTCTGTGATCGCAGTTTGTGCAGTCAATAACCCTACCATTTGGACTTGTCAGTATTGCATATTAAGAATGTAATATATTTATCATATTATGCAGTGCAGTGAACTGTTCGAAAACTGTTATAAACAACAGTTCAAACTGTCGAACAATTCCATTGTCCTCAGGAAAACTTATAAATTTTGTTTATTTATACATAAATTAATTAATAAAATTAATTTATTTTTTTCTTAATTATTTGTTATTTGTTTGATTTACTAATTAAAATATTTAATATTAAGGCGGATTTCTTCAGCAATAATACTTTGAAATATAAACAATATAATAATAAATGTTGTGTTAAAAAAATTTGATCAATAAGCATTTAAAAAAATAAATCCACAACTATAATAGTAGAAAAAAAAATTGCAAAATAAAAAGAAATTTATTTGCGATGCCAACCATATGAGTCAGCAGTCAGTCCATTCAAATTACTTAATATTTCAATTACTATTAGAGCTCTTTATGACTGAAAATAATTAAAAATGATTATTACCAGGAAAATAATTTAAATTTGTGCGAGTTCGCTTAATTGCTAAGAAAGTAAATTCTCTTTCGGCAATATTCGTTTCACTTAAAAATAATTATTTTTCATAGTTGCATGCACACGATTTTAAAAATATTTATATATAGAAAATAAGTTTTATAAAAGTTGTTATTTAATACTCTTAGACTCATTGCTTAACCTTATTTTTTATTTTTTAAAATAAGGTTACAACAATTTTATATATTTTAGAATACGTAAGAACAAAAGCTGTTAATGTAATAATATAACAATTTTGACATTATTACAAATATTTTTATATTAATTAATAACAAGTGCAACATATATAAATCTAAATAGTTGTATTTATTGTTTTTGTAGTCGTTTTCATTATATTAAAACAAAATGATACGAGTAGTAAAAAAATATTTAAAACCGATTTTATAATATATTTTCTTCTTTTTCTTATTTGGCGCTACAGTTCAGTGTGAACCGTGGCTCTTCCTATTATAATGTATTTTATTGCTGTTTGTTATCACTGTTCTCTGCTGAAATTCATTATATCTGCAGGTATTAAGATTGTCAATACTCCTATATTTTTTTGTTAGATGGCACTAAGCACACTTAGCCAAGACAACAAATCAAATTTCTTTATATAAGTGAAAAGTGCATTGCTGAAGACCGTATTATTAAGATAATACGATTCCCATAGAAATACGGTCTTTGAAGTAAATATGCATTTGTTGCTAAAATCAGGGATACATTTATATCTATACTATATAGATTCTTTTAAATAAATAAATTTTGTTTAGTTTTGTATGTTAAAAAAGCTATAGACTAAAAAATACGCTCAAATTTATCTCCGGTACAGTTTAGCTTTTCTTTTCAAAAAATTTCGCTTAGTTCTGTGTCTACAAAATTCTGTCTAACCTTAACAGATCAGAAAAAGAACGAATAAATAATTTAGTACTAGACTCATCATTTTTTAACAATCATTTAAACTTTTAAATATAGAAACTGAATAAAACTATGCCAGAACTGTTATTCAAACAGATTTAAATATGTGGAATCAGTTCAGTGTTCAGACGATTAAGATTACGATCACGGTGCGGATCAACGTGAAACTTAATAATATTGGATATTGGCCAGCAGCAACCAGCAGCAGCGAAGTAGTAGCCAGATCAGAAGCCAGCGGCAGCCAGTAAATATATACAATACAGAGAATTTCTGTTGATGGGACCTATGCAATGCATTGAGTGTTTCGACAAAACAATTATTAAGATTTAGCGTAATTTCCATAATCTCCCCCACATAAGGGAGTAAAAATCTTCCATAACCAACTCCAGAATAAAACAAAAAGAAGGAAATTCAATTAAGATTAGGTTTCAGCGAAATTACCATAATCTCGCCCACATAAGGGAGTAAAGGTTTTTCCGTAACCAACTTCAGAATAAAACAAAAGGAAAGGAAATTCAGTGTGCTTTATGTCAATGTCAAAAAAATTAGACATAATTTTAGATTAAAACTTACACATAACTCACATATTATTAGATCTATGACTTAATAAATTTTTACTTTTGTGTGAATCAATCGTATTTTTGATGCTTTATATTTTGTTTATAAACAAAACAATAAATATTTGCATTATGTTTTGCTATAAATTTCACAAGTTTAAACAGGATCTTCAAGTGTTATACGCAATATTAGTATTTTATGCAACCGAATAATAATACGGTCTTTAACATTATTGTTTATTTAAATATACCTCAGATGGCGCTCTTTTATAATCAAATACTT